TATTGTAGTAGTGTTTCTGTGTGGATATTATTGTAAGTACGGCTGTTTCTGCGTGGATATTATTGTAGTAGTGTTTCTGTGTGGATATTATTGTAAGTACGGCTGTTTCTGCGTGGATATTATTGTAGTAGTGTTTCTGGTGTGGATATTATTGTAAGTACGGCTGTTTCTGCGTGGATATTATTGTAGTAGTGTTTCTGTGTGGATATTATTTTTATAGTGTTTCTGTGTGGCTTTCATGATTGTAGCGTTTCTGGTGGCTATTATTTTTATAGTGTTTCTGTGTGGCTATCACTATTGTAGTGTTTCTGTGTGATTTATTACATCGACGTTTCTATGTGGCTAGAATAGTTGAGGTGTTGTCATGTGGGAACTAGTACTAACGTTTTTAGATGGATATTGTTAATACAGTGCTGCTTTTTTATGGTTAAAATTGTTGTGATATTTCTATGTGGTTAATATTGTGATGTTTTTATGAGGTTAATATTGTTTGGAGTTTTTATGTGGCTATGATTATTAAAAGCTTTTATGTGGATATTATGATTGCACTGTTTCTATGTAGTTATGACAATACTGAAATTTCGTTGTGAACATTGTGTTATTGATTTTTTTGTGTAGCTATTATGATCGTGTTGTTTTTACGTGGTTGTTATTATTGTTGTGCTCCTATGCAATGATTAAGGCCAATGTTCATTCTGAATATTGAGATATTGATGTTTCTGTGTGGTTGTTATGGTTATGTTGTTTGTATGTGGTTGTTATGATTATAGTGGTGTTTTTATGTGATCGTGATAATAAGGTCGTTCAGGAGATACTATTATTGAGCTGATATTGTAGTTATGATGATCATTTTTAACTGATTATTATTATAATAACAACGTTTCCATGTGATTATTGTGATGTTTTTATGTGTTTATCATGATAGCTATGTTCTAGGTCGTTATTATCGTAGCATTATTTTTATATGGTTGTTATGTTTCTAAGGGTATCCATTATTATTCGGGTAATTCTATGTGTGTTCATTACGATAATGATATTTCTGTGTGTGTTTTTATACTGGTATTATTATTATTGTGGTGTTTTTAAGTGGATGTCAAAATAATTATGCTTTTCTGAGACTGTTATTATATCGAGCTTTATATGCGGTTATTATTATATATTCGGGTTTTTGGTGTATTTTTGTAATAGTGTTTGGATATGATTATCATGCTACTTGTCTTTCTTTGTGATTATTATGATACTGGTGTGACCATGTATATATTACGATCGCGTTATTTCTAAGTGGTTATTAAGACAATAGTGTTTCTGTGTAGTTATTATTGAGATGCTTTTATGTGGTTTTCATGTTAGCATTGTTTTAATGTGGTTATTTTAATAGTGGCGTATTAATGGGGTTATAATGATAGTAGTGTTTATATGTGGTTAGAATAATAGTTGTGTTTTATGTAGCTTTTAGGATAATGATTCTTTTAATTCATTGTTGCGATACTAGTGTTCATATTTAATAATTAAAATAGCGATTTTCTAAGTGTTTATTATGATAGTGAAAAAGTAATAAATATACCATCAAAAGCACTTCCGCAGGGTCCTCGAAAGTGTTCTGTTTCAAAAGAAAATTAAACCAAAGTTAAGAGTACAAATATTTTTATTTCTTGCTTTCGAAGTTCATATGTCATGCTGTATCGTAGCCTACAGAGTGCATAATTTTTCTAGTAATTCATGGCATGCGCGCGTTTTACCGACGTTACGACAGAACAAGTTGCAACTTTAAGCGTCCCTTATGTGACATCGTTTTAGTGTCTACTGACTGGCAGACAACACAATACTGTATAGTGGTGTGAGTGGTTAAACAAGTGAAATAAACTAGTTACACTTGAAGGTTAGTACTTATACAAATGGCCACCTATCTTTCTGCCTGTTTTTCAACGTATTATACAAAGACTATAAAATACTCTATGATAAACCTATGTGCGCCAGTTTAAATTCATTAAAATTCACACTTGTAATTGATTATTTTTAAATACGCGAAGTTGCTAAAAACCTATAACATTGACTGTTTTATCTGTTCTTCTAAAGTCTTCGTAAAAGTCGAGAAACTGAATATTACTTTCTTAACGTTGTGCTCACTGCGAATCATTCCTTGATACTTCCAAGTGTATCTGTTCTATTTCGACATCGGTTTATTTGTAGTTTTTTATGATTTAATTTAGGGCTAGTTCGTATAATAAGTTTTTAAACTGTTAAACTCTGAAGTAAGAAATAATAAATCTAATAAATATTTCGTTTCGTAGCTACTACTTCTATCGGTATTATATTCATACTTCTTGCCAAGTTATACACAAACTAGATCTTAAATTGGTTACAGAGTGTTCAATAAAATTGCCTAAAAATGTTTATTTTAATAGAATCGGGTATAAGTTTCGCATGATAAGATCTCATTTTCTGATACGTTTTATATATATTAATTTAAAACAATGCCATCCTATACAGTTCAATTTTTACTAGCTTATTAAATTCCTTGTTTTTACTCTTTGTTTTTGTTACAGGAAAAGATTCGTTAACTCATTCAACAAAATAAATAAAAGCAAAGAGTTTAGGGGTGTCCTGCCCTGGAATGGCTAATGAAGTAGACGAAGATGATGTATTTTTTGACACTATTGGCTTATTCGAAAGCCAAACCTCGAATAAATATCTTGACAAAACAAACACCATTGAACAAGAAGCTGATGAGGCTTCAGCTATGAAGAGTGTAGCTCCAGCAGAAGCCATGGAGGACCAAAGTTTCCACTGCGAAAACAACAGGCAGGGAAATTTAAAACCTGACAATAAATTTCATTTGCAAACCACTGACCCACTAAATCCAGAAAAAGATTTTTTGGAGTATATGTTGTCACTGTCTGGGTCCCTGGGAGAAGGAGAAGAAATTACTCGGACAGGTGGTAAGGGGAAAAGTGTGAGTGGTGTGAGTGTTAGCAATGCTAAACCTAATACGAAAATAGGCTTAGATCATTTGGACAATTTATGTAAGCTGATGGAACAGCTCAGTGATTTACGTGAAGCCAACACAAAGCTCCAGAAGCGTGTGCAGTACCTGGAAGACATTAAGTCTCTCCATGATATGCACAGAGAAGTCGTAAAGGTGTTGTCAATAGATGTTCAGCATGAACCCACTTACAGACAGGGTCGTTACACCAAAGGGTGTAACCAGTCGGTTACTTATACTGAAAACCCACGCCGAGTGCGGTACAAGGCAAAAGGTAGGCAGTTTTCTGTGCAGAAGAGTAAAACACAGTTTAACATCCCCGAATCTCCTTCTACTGTCAGAGAAAGAAGTAAGTCTGTAGGTCATGAAGAGATGTGTGAACCCAAAGGAAGCAACAAAAAAAAATTTCCAAAGTGGTTCAAATTCAAAGAAGCTTTAGGTTGGGAGAGAGGTAACCAAGAATCTGGACGGACCGGGGGAAGTAAGGGGGGTCGTTCTGAGAAGAGGTTACAAACAGAGAAGTTGGCAAAAGATGTATTCAGGGGAGACGAAGGAAGAAGAGTTCTATGGGAGGAACATCTTGGTGCTCTTGGAATTCCTGTCTACTTGGAATATCCAGATCATGAAGGTCTCGATCCAGAGAAGCTGACGCTAGAAGAGTTGATGGGGACCACTGAGAGCCTGTCCTCTCCCGAGGGGTCTCTTTACCTTAGTGAAGAAAACCTTCTGAAGAAAGGAGGTAAAGACATTAGGAACATCTGTTAATGAATAGATCTCGAATAGGGGCATATTTAGATGAAGTTAGAAGTGCGGTTTTTAGGTTTACCGTAGCATATCCTTGCATGTGTGTGTCAGAAAACTTTCATGTAATTCCATGATATGATCTATCTGAATTCTACAATTCGAACAGAGTTCAACTGTCAGAGAACATTTAGTCTAGGAGGAGATTCTCAAAAGTTTTCAACTTTTAAAATTCTTTCAACACCCTTTAAGGAAAAGGTGTGATTTAATTTTCTGTTAGAGAAAACCTTCCTAAAGGTTTTCATACATATTTTAAAGTCCAAATATGGTATCAGTCTTTTCTATGACACTTTGCTTGAGAGTACCTTATACTCCCAACCAAGATGTATTGACGCGAGATCAAAATTAGTACCCAATTTTCTACTTAACCACAGACCATAACTAAACATCTATAGACTTATAATTTTCATTTCTAAATTCTCCAATAACATTTTTTTACTTGTGAAGAGTTAGAAACCTATATTATTAACCGTTAAAAAGCTGTGAATGAAAATATTATATGGAAAATCTATTTTCATCTCAGAACTTCATTTGCAAATATAGGAGACTTTTTAAATACAGGTAAGTTGTGCTTGACAATAATTTTCATCAATACTTAACTAGCTAGTGTAGCAAAAGTCAAAATATTATTTTAATAGATAATGGCTTAAATTAATTCCACTTTACTCAACAACTTATTAATTATTTATGCACATTCAACAAATTTGCTGCATTTGAATTCATGGAAGTGGGTCATATTCCCAAATAAAGGCATCTAGATACAGATGTAATCAACTCTCCTCAGACACACCATCTACTCCGATCAAAAAACTAGTCTACTAAAAATTTGGATTAACAATACGTTGAATATTGCTTCACAATAATCCACTATCTAACTTATTACAAGCTGACTGTAAAAAGTGATATTTATATTAAACTGGACAGCGTTATTATACAGGTAGTTCCTCTCATTATGTGTTCAAGATAAATGCTGACATTAGCTATAGAATAGAAGCATCTTGTGATCAAGGAGTACTGAGTTTTATAGTGTAGCATATGTTATTGTCAACTGTGTATCGTCATGGCTAAAGCTGATGTGTCTGTAAATATGTAAGTGTAAGTAGCTATAAGAACAACACTGTTAGTAATAATTAGCACATGTGTTATACCAGGTTTTACTTGAATATAATTTCAATATACACAATAGTTTCATCAAGTTTATTATTACGTCAAGCTTATGACCTACTTTGTATAGTACATACACGAATATTCAGTGTAGTTGGAAAATGAGTACAATCTCACTTTTGATTACGGTAAATAAGAATCCAATTGCATTGCCTAAACATTTCTATACTGAATTAAAGCAATACTTCAAGGCAGAATGTATACATAAGTTTTAACATTTCCAAGCACATGGATTTGTCCAGTTTTTATGTAGTGTTTTGATGTAGCCTGCAGTAACTGTTTAACTACGACATGTACATGTTTACAAGTTTTACTAAAGTTTATAAATTTCCGCAGCTTTGTGAATGCTTTTTTTTTAATAATGTGTTATACAGCTTCTGATTGGATAATACTGAATTAAACTATTTTGACAGAACATAATAAAAATTCTTCACGAATTTTGCGGATTTTTTGATAGCTGTACAATTAAAAACCACACAGAAAAAGGTGCTATCGCAATTTCTGTTTACAATATATCGTAAAATATTTAAGCGGGGGTGGGATCTCTTCCAGAAAATCAAATCAGACCTTTTTTTTTAAATAAAGGACGAGGAACAAAGGAACCCAGCTTACCCCTCCTAGTATAATGAAATGAAATCAATTTTCAGGTTCACTCAGTTCGTTTAATTATAACCTGATACAGGGAATTGATAAAAGCTCACGCTAATCTTATTTTCTCAACTTCTGAACGGGTCAAAAATATGAACATCCTACAAAACTGTGAAAAGCTTCAAAATGTACATTCTTCCGAGTAATGTTTACGATTATTCATGCTTGAAAAGCGTCTAAAGTGTTTTAAAAGCTTAATATTTACAAAACGTGGTACTTTGTTTAATCAGTTCCGACCACATTTCAGTTTGTTAAATTATTACAGAGCTACCATTTTAAAATACCAAGATATACTCTTAAGCGAATTATATAATGATTTGTATTTACTAATTAATCGGCAACGTAAATTTTAAATACAAGTAGTTAGTATCCACTAAGCTGAGAAAAATATGTTTAAGTTCCTACCTTTTTTCCAACAAATCTGAAATAAAATTACTAATTTTACTTATTTCATTAACTACATAGGCACTCTTATTTGTTAATTTCTTCTTGTGTTAACGTGGATAATTAAGTTTCTTTAATTCTATGATGCTTTCTAACGGCAATTAAGAATACTGATGTCAGTTTCAGATTAAAATCACCACAATTTAAGAGTTTCAATGTTTTGTTGAAATATCAGTGATAATTTAATAAGTTTTATTTTTACAAATACACCGCACTAGAAGCTCCAGCGGCAAGGCAATCGTCCGCTCGTGAGAAGTCCGAAAGTTCAAGACGTCATGAAAGAAAAGACAAGTTTACTCCTAGTCCTACTTCTTCCACCAGAGGGCCTCCCGGAAGAGAAGATATTAGAGATAGTCAAGGTTATAATATCATTTTGTCTTATCAACTATACCAAAATAACAAAAACCTTACACGAGACACTTAACCTATTTTGAGATTTGGTAGAAAATATGTATAAGAAAAATTCAATAACTTTAAAGCTTTATATGAATTTTTTTGATACCAGAAAACTGCATTCTTCTGTTAAGAGTAGCCATGTAGCCGGAGGGTGTTGTTGATTGGCTGCCCTCCCTCTATTCAGTGGTTCTAAATTAAGAACAACTATGTCTTGTCCTAGAAGTCTCTGACCTGGCTACTTAGCTCATGTGTCGCATGAGGGCCGTTCAGGTTGGAATACCAATTTTAATTTTTATTAGATTTTTGGGATTTTTGTAAACAAAAGGTATAGATGATCTCATTAATTACCATGAACAAAACAGTGAAAAAAAATCGGAACTTTCTTTTTTTTTCTAATGCAGAAAGATCCAACACAATCGATCAAGAATGTGAGGGAGAACAACCTGCTTATCAAGAAGATACTAAAAAATCCCATAAAGGGCCTTGGAGACGAGTGAAGACAATGATCCAGACAAGACGAGATAGTCTGCGGAGGAAACACAGAAAGAATGAAAGCGGGAAAAAAAGGGAAGAAAAAATCGATACTGATCCTGTTAGCGGAGTCAGTGTTGAAATATCAGTAGCAAGTGATGAAGAAGAAGGTGAAATCAAAGATGAAGATGACCGTACTGATGATGAACTTGGGGAATTAAGGGAAAGGAAAATTTCGAATCGAAGCGTAATGTCAATATCCAAAAAAGGCTCTTCGCAAAACATAAGTGGATTACAGGAACAGCGCATTTCTTGTACAGATGACTGGGTTCAAGAACCTGCAAGAGATACACATGGAATAAATGTAGTTGCTAAAGGAACGGTTCAACAAGAGAGGAAAAAGAAGCCTAAGTCACTTTCTATACCTACAGACGAAGAAGAAAACAGCTTGCCACCAATATGGAGAACTAGTGCCACAGCTGAAGACAATCCTCCAACACCTCACTCATCCCCACCATTTCATCGGAAGTCGCGATGGACGAAAGTGAAGAAAGTTTTCAGTAGCAAGCGAGAAGATGACGTCAGATATCCTCGTTCTCAATCAGTTCCTTCTAGTCCGGCGTCTGTTGAGAAAGTATCCCATTTCGACTATGATGAGAAAAAAATAGAAGGTTTGTTAACAAAAATACTAATAAATAATGATAGTATTAAGAATGACAGTACGAGTTTTTACAAACTGCACCTTAAGAAAATTAATTACTATAAATTGTATTGATATTGAAATAGCTACTGTAGGGTTAACAATCGAGTTATTGTATAGTTAATTAATAATTAGTTTAAAAGCGGGTACGTTCTCAAGTATATTAAAAAAATAAAACATATTTGAAAATATTACATAAAATCACATAAACAAACTAAACAAAAAAGAAATATTTCGATAATTTTCATGATGATCAGTCACTGCGCATTAATATTTAATAACGTTATGAATCTGTTTAAGTAGTACGTTTAAGCAGAAATGCAACAGAAATGAGGGTATCATCCAAACATGACGTCTGTGTTTTCGAGCAAGTCTAAACACGAGTTGACAGAAAGAGTAAGACACGAGCATGTTGGTGAAAATGAAGCTTAAGGTTTAATGTAACTTGTATAAAGTACGTTATCTGGTTAGGTCTAACAATAGTAATTATTTCCAGGATTATCGAATAATCGAATTTTGTATGCCTAAATAAGAAAAATAAGGCGTTTGAAACCAAACGTTGTCATGAGAAGTTCTTATGACTCAGGCCATAGCGTAGGAATGAGCAATTGGTTGAACGGTTCACGCAAATGGCTATCTTACTTTTAAAATAATTTCAATTAAGTAATCAAAATACTTAAAATGTGGGGAAAATTTGTAATTATTTTAGACTACAGGACCAACTGAATTGAAACTGAGCTGATACGAAATTATGTATGCTGTAAACTCGATGACTCTAATAACTGTTTACGATTATTTGTTAATGTTCCTTATAAACACAACTGATGTTGAAGCATAACAAAATACAATTTTTCTCTCCAAATTAGAAACAAGATCATTTTATCATATGAGTTTAAAAAATACTCATATCAATCACAGAATGTTAACTCTATTCTGGTCTCGACACCGTGAGTTCACAGAGCTGCATCACAGAATAATATGCGCATAAAAAACTGCACACAGAACAGACAAAAAAATAAAACGCCCCAAAAAAGAAATATAAAGTTGGATTATTTCCAATCATATGGCATACTTTTAAATGTAAACGTCCACTGTGTATCTGCTCGTGCTTCCCTATGAAACTCAGTGTCTAGACGGCCATCCAGTCTGGCACGACCGTCTCGTGCTTGATCAACTTTATTTGCAAGTTTAATCATTTAATTTTTTTTCAATCTTTATCTGTTTTTTTTTTTTTTTTTATAAACAGATGAAGGTCAACTTCAGGAAGATGAAACAAATATAAAAGGTTAGTGTAGTAGGAAAATATAATTTTAAATATCTGAAAATGATACATTTCATTTTTCTAGCACTAGTCAATCAATTAAATATTTGGTGGATTTCGTCCCTCTGAAGAAAAACAAATTTTAGTTGATAATTTAAATTGGAAGTAGTATTTAGTTTTAGCAACTCATCATAAAACGTTTATATAAATGTTGACTAATCCAAAAAATAATATTATATTATCTGACATTTCTAAAGCATCCCTACATTTCTTCCTCTATAATGTTTCATAGATTAAAATTTCGTAAAATAAATACCCACAAATATTTTATTATGTTATCAAAGTATTGGGAGCATTTCACAGACACGTGTTGTAAATTGTAAAATGCCACATATAATCATTTTTGCATAGTAACTTAGAAATGTTCCAAGGTATGATAATAAAACAATGAATTTTCCGGTTTCTGGTAAACTAATCATCACTGAGTAGATTCAGTAGTCATTTTCTTCTATAAATCTTCTTCATGTTCAGGATTAAGTTGGTATGTGGTTCGCTAAACGCTGTTAGTATACCTAGGTAGTGTCGAGTCAGATTTGTGGGTCACTAAACACTATTAGTATACCTGTGTAGACTAAAATCAGATTTGTTGGTCGCTAACAATATAAGTATACCTGTGTAGTGTCAAGTCAGATTTGTGGGTCGCTAAAACATGTTAGTTTTCAAGCCTCATATTTGGAGAAAATTTCAGTAAATGATATTTAATATTTACATAATGGAAACTCTCATTAATTACCTTTTTTCCTCACCAGTAGAAGCCCAATCTCCAGATGTTGCGTTTTCGGATAGTTACACATCTGAGTTAAGCGCTATGACAGCTGATGGATCCCTACAAGTATTAATGCCATCTAGTTCCGCTCCAATGGCCAGCATAGTCCAGGAACTCCAACGAAACCTAAGCGAAGATTTTAATCGGAAAATTCAAGAATGGGAAAGGAAGCGAGGAAATGGTTGGAAACCTCCTAGTCCAAGTCTCGAGAGGAAAGGTTCATCTTCTCGCCTTTGGCGAAGTAAAACCGAAAAAGACAAACCGGATCGAATAGAAAAGGTGAGAAAAAACCGCATGAAAGACCTTAACTGGCTCGAGAAAGAGTTACAGAAAGTGGAGCGAGAGAAACAGAGGTTAGCTAAACAGAAGAGGAAATATGAAGAGAGAGCTGTACAGTTACAGAGACTGCGAGAAGCCGTTTTTAATGCACAAAAGACTAACAAAAAAGAAGTACTTGTTCGTACCTCAGCTGGTGAATTCCGATTTGAAGGGATATCTGATGCTTTCACAAAAAAATTGTACGAATGGGAGACGAAACGTGGAGTTCAGCCGGAACTCTCCACGATAGCTTTACTGGATGCCAGCATGCGAAAACCTTCCTTTTCACCTAGGATTTGTTTACCTTCTGATCGTGCTCCGTCCTTGCAAAGAGGAATATCTAGGTCTGAAACCAGTATTCCTGATGCAATTCAGTCTGGACCATCTCCTTGCACTTCCCTTCCATCCCTCCAACACGACACAAGCCAGCATTCTGAGCGAATACAACTTTCTAGGGCAAATTCCGAACCTGATCTCTCTTCATTTAACAGCAATAAGGAAATGGGCTTTAAACAGCGATCACATTCGGATGACACTGTAGGAAGTGATAGAGTTCAAAGTTATGCACCGCCGGAAGTGACCCAGCTAATTGATAGTGATTCCGAAGAAGCTGTATTATATGAAAAGAAATGGAAGGAAGAACGAGAATTACAAGAGGCTTCTGCGCAAGAAGATAACTATTATACGCTTCTTGAAGAAAACATGTTCCTTTTGGAGCAGCTGAAAACAAAGGAAGGGATCTGTCGTCGTCTGGAAGAAGAATTAGAAACGCTGGACGATAAAATGGAAGAAATGAATGCACGACATCAGAAAGAACTGGGTAAGCAGATAGTTTACATAAGCACATTCATCTGTTTCACAAGCGTATAGAAACTCGCTTTCAATCCACAAAAAAAGGTTATCAGAAACATTTTTATCAGTACATATTGCCCATTTTCTTTACAAATATATTCAAATGAGAATAAATAGGCCATGATGTTTTAAAATAATGTAAACCCAATTATAAGTTAAACTTTTTTTGAGCAAACATTAAATAAGATTTAAATTTGACTTTTGTTTAATTTGTTAAATATATATATATTATGGTTTTACATCTGACGTTCTTGCAACTTCTTTGGACTGTGTAATGATAAAATGGTACGACTTCTTAACACTAACAAACATTTTTGGAGACTAGTTTAATCAACCCGATTATGAGAATTTTACTTGTTGGTTACTAAATGATGCGACTATCCCAAGAAGAATAGAGTGGACTAATGAGAGTTGAATTAAGTTCTAATCAAATATCTTAGAAATGTCTGGTCCTTAGTGAATATTTACTTGTTAGTTTCCAGATTATTTGACTCTTCTAAGGAGAGCTTCTCGAAGTGAAAACGAAAAGTTATATGAAGTTCAAGTTAAACCTTTCATTCCGTCATTGGTTTTATGTGTTACTTACCAAATTATCTTACGTTCTTAATAGCATGACTCGGAAGGAAAGGCATTAAATTAACTTCAAATTAAACCTCTTAGAAATAGATAGTTCCTAATGGACTTTATTTGCTTGTTGCGATATGATATCTTAGAATTATATTTACAACCGATAAGAAATGTTCACTTTTTATTACAGAAGCTAACGTGTTCTACGCGTGGAAGTTTAGGGTATTGTGGTTTTAAAGCATATATGTTTGTTTATCACCCATGAATATATATATATATGGAAGGACAAGTATGACAAAGATATTATAAAGGACACATAACTAACAAACGTTATGAACGTGTGACACCTCCAGCGTCACATTTGGTTTTGAAATAGTAGCTTTGAGCAAATACTGGGTGCGATACATCTACTAAACTATTTTTCAGCGTCATCTTCTAATTTCACGCTGTCTACCTATCTCTCTCTCTATATATATATATATAGTGTGTGTGTGTGTGTGTGTGTGTGTGTGTTTTCAATTTTTAACGCCATCTACTGACTTCACGCTATCTGTCTGGCTCTCTCTATATATATATTTATCTATGTTTCCTTTTAATTAATAATAACTTTAAGAAGAGGTTTTGTGATCTTTACATATATGTTAATTTTTTTGAAGTATAAACTAGCTTAGTATTAGGCTGTATACTTAAAAACGTATTTTAACGTCCATTCATATAGCTTTAGTTTCTGCGTAAATTCTTACATATTAGTTTTGATGTTTACGAATAGATTACCTTTAGGCGCTATAGATTTAGATAGAAATTACCATGTATATTTTTACGAATCATAGAACGTTAAACACAAAATAGCTTATTTTGTTAACAAGTAAAAAAATACTCATTTACAAATGATAACAATACGGATTGCCTTAGTCACATCCTTACAGTTGTTGTAAAACTTACAAACGACATGTTCCTAGTCCGAACGGATTAAGTCCTTCAGGAAAAAAAACATGTCCTTGATACTTCTTTGTTTCCTCCCTCTCTCGTGTTTGAAATGATTTATATCATAGTCTCAGGAGGTTAACTAGAATAAGAGAGACTTTGAAAGTTACGACAAATTTGTCATTGTTAGTGATTCAGTAATGCGACTGAAGGAAGCTCAGTGTCAAATTAATCTAGTAAAATCGATATTTGCTGGATAATTATGTAGAAAGAAGATGACGATGGAATTCCAACGTTTTTTAGGGGAGAAAGTTCCTCAAGTATGATTAACAATAACTGATATCTGAATGAATCAGTAAGATGCATATGCAGGTATCGGTAACAAGGTTATTGAGAGTTACTCAAAGCACTTCGAGTTTCTTTCCTCTCCCCATTTTCCGCTCACTTCTGTAAGATTGTAATTCAACTAACCTTCTCAATGGCAAGTAGAGGCCTAAAATTTTACGATGTGAAATATTTCCCTTTGCTCGTGCCCGCTATCCACAAGTTTGGGCATAATTACTTCAAGTATATGAATCTTTAATGTTAATTATCCCTTCTCATATGTTGTCGCAATATATGTCTTAAACACGTAACAACAAAGTAAGCAGTGTTTACAAAAATAGAATTTTGTGAAAGTAATATAACTGTTTTAAGGTCAAACCTATTTTATTTAGCCGAAATTAGTTCGGGGAGAGGGTTCAAGTTGTAGATTGTAACGTATATAAGTTTACTGCAGACTCAGGCTTTCTTGTGTTTGATGCTGAAGACTATATCCGCCATTATGAAACATTTCTCTTCGAAATCTGTTGAACTCCACACCATTCCTTCCTCGTACACTCACAGCGCCAAGTATCTTCTGATTGGTCTTTAACATGTCTGTCAAATGCAAGTCAGTTACAGGTGGTGTTCTGATCATATTGATGGCGTCCTAACAAGCAGAACATGATAGAATATCAACTAGTAAATAAGAAAATAACATTTATTTCCGTTGTAATAGTCGTGTTGATTTACCGTGATAAAATCTTTTTTTTTTCCAGAAATAGTTTAGAATAACAGTTTGTTGAACTATGAAAGAAACTCTGTCTCTCATATCAAAAATTTTATTCTTAAACAACCCTAACACGTTTTGGTACAAATAATGTATTAATAAGTTTTTAGATAAGTTTTCGTTTTTTATGTGACTCTTTAGGGCAGGTAAGAATTTTGTGCTAGGAATATGAGTGGCTCTTCATTTCACTTTAGGAGTAATAATTTTTTTTGACAAGTTTTACTGAGAAAAAGGAAACTTTGAGCTTACAAACATAACAGACACTGTCTTTTCTTCAGCGACTTTAGTAGAAAGATACTGTCTTCTTTTTAGGCAACATTTGCTAGAAATTATTTTTAGAAAACATTTATTAGAAAGGTACTGTCTTTTTCGTAGACGGTACTTTATCGAAGGACACTGTCTTTCCAATAGACAGCATTCATCAAAATACGCAGTTTTCCTTCTCTATAGACAGTACTTAATAAAAGAACATCAGTGACATCGATTTAAAACTTACCATGAATCTAAATGACGCCAAGTTTAACGTACTGTTGCGTATCTGCTCGTTTGTTAATTTCCGGTATAAATTCTTTCCGAGGAACTTCAGCGATACAAGTCCTTGCTTAATTAAAACTAGTTTACTCTATCTTGATACAACTTTTTAGTACACAGAATTTCCACAGTCACTTTAAACTTAATAACCTCTATAACACACGCTATAAATCATAGTGATTCACACACTTTACTTACGGTGCCTACTGTTCGCTTGACTTAATTATCTATCTATCTCTTCGATCTATTTGCCTGCTTATATACTACAAAAAGAGGTTCCCCTATCTTTCTAGAAACTTCAGCGCGCATGCTCCCAGCGTCGCGTGACTTCCGCTGTCGTAACAGTACCTTGACATCACACTTAAATTTACCATGAATCTGAATGACACAAGGTTTAGACTTAACAAGAACCTGACTGAAGTCAAGTGCATACTTCTTGTGAAACAGAATTACACTACACTGAGTTAAACTTGCAGGAACGTGTATGAGAAGAAATGAGGATAATTGATGATAATTACGTTCAAAACCTTTTTTCTTGACTTCAGATATTTTACCACTTGTAAATCACTGTGATAAGCAGAACTGTGACTGTGTATATGTATAACATGGTTCATTGGATATTCAACTGTTGGCAGATTTCCAACAATTGAACATATTTGTTTTGTTTGTGTCGAAATATCTTTACTTTAATATTTTTCTCAGTTTTCTGAATTGATTTTTTTGCCAAATACGAATAGTGTTTTATTCTACTTTTGTGTATCTAACTACACTTTACAGATTTCTTTACAGCTGTTTATATACATATATATATTTATAGTCTCATTTTCTCATAGATATGGTGTCATTCTCTGATTACATAATAAAGTCCCATGCTATAATTTTGTTGATATATGTATATATCATCTCTAGTTCCATAAATACAGTTTTATGCTGTAATTTCGTCGATATATATATAGTCTCTCTACCTCAGGTTACGTAGATACATTCTCAGTCAGACTACGTACATACATTTTTCATATTATCACGTAATTACATTCTTACTCTCTAACGTTTTTTGTAGATACAGTCTTACGTTGAAACTTCGTAATTAGAGAAACCTTGCTAATTACTTAAGTATACACTGTCACTTTCTGGACACATATTTACAGTGTATACTTAAGTAATTAGTATACACTGTCACTTTCTGGACACATATTTACAGTCTTGCCTTTTAATGGCATAAATACAGTTTTATGCTGTAATTTCGTCGATATATATATAGTCTCTCTACCTCAGGTTACGTAGATACATTCTCAGTCAGACTACGTACATACATTTTTCATATTATCACGTAATTACATTCGTACTCTCTAACGTTTTTTGTAGATACAGTCTTACGTTGAAACTTCGTAATTAGAGAAACCTCGCTAATTACTTAAGTATACAGTGTCACTTTCTGGACACATATTTACAGTCTTGCCTTTTAATGGCGTAGATACAGTTTTGTGCTGTAATTTTGCAGATATATTTTGGCCCTTTGAATAGATAGCCTCAGTCTCAAATTACATACTTCTTCAGTACACGAATACATGGTGTGTTAAACATTCCTTTAATAATCTACAGCGCAAGAACATTCCCTAATTAATAAAGTGCCACTACACGTTTTTAACTAATTGTAGGGTCTGAATACACGGTGTGTTAAATACACTTTAATAAGCTACAGCGGTAGAACACTCATTAATTAACAAAGTGCTGCTACACTTTTTACCATTTGTAGAATATGAATTCTTCTAGAGCTCTACAAAGCCACGCACGTACGCAGGGGGTTCGACAGAACCCCCTATTTTTGTGATGTAAAAAAATATATGCTTATTTAAAGCCTAGCTCCCATGTAGCGTTACAAAGAATGATGTTTTGTTGAGTTTTCATTGGATGTTTGTGTGTTTTATGTGAACAGCCATCCAGACTTAATCTCATAGCACCTATCTTTTTTACAAATTTTCTGGAGGGCGTGCCCCCAGACCTCCGTAGCATTAGCATGCTTTGTATGCTGATTGTGCTTCGCACAATATGTGTTGGTTTTTGATCTCACAAATTAGAACCTCCCTTTCAAACATTCTGCATACGGGCCTGAAAACTGTCTGTTTAAGTCAAATGTTGTTATACCCTCTGATTAATTTTAAAACTAGAGCCGTTTCTGAGCGTCTAGAGTGTAATAACATTCCGAGTGTGCATATTGTGTTACTTTCAGACACACACACACATATATATATATATATACTTCTTCTTTCCACCGATAAAACATTTACATACAACTGTATCCCTAAGTCATATAATTAAAACTTTTGACGGTGGACGTATTTCTAATAGCGAACATTTTTCTAAAATGCAATACATTCGAAAATTTACCTTTTTTAAAAAAAAAATTAAACTTCTATGTTGCACTCATCTTATTAACGAAATTGCCAGCATTTTATTGTATATTTTAGGAACAACTTTCGTATAGATTATTGTAGGTATTAATCAGTTTATCCATACGTATCCAAACAAGTTGTATTATACTGCCTAGCCCTCGTGTTTTACAGTAGAATGCCCCTTAATACGCTTTTCTTGAGAGTCTATTTCACATGCAAGGTTTCATTGACATAAATAAACTGTATGCCTATTGGGAAGCTTGTCTGTTTCATTTTTACAAACACTTCATGCAATTAGTCACATGTGGGTACTTTTTTATTCAAGTAGTTCCGTTTGAAAGCCCAGTCTCAAGTACATAAATAAACAACCTACTTTGACTCGTACGTCTGAGGAATAAATGGAATAACAAACTGGCTTAAAACACAGATAAGATTATGAATAAAATCGTTTATCAAAATACCAATGATAAATATAAAATGTAAATAAGATTTAAAAACAAACGTATGTTGTTGTTGTTTTCTCTCGTACGACAGAATTAAAATAAAACTGCGTTTTAACATTCTAGCTGTTTATATTGTTGTTTTAGTGTTAGCAAGGTTGTCTGTACAAATGTTAGGTTTTCGGGTTATCTTTTTTTTTTTTATCTCTGTAGCAAAATGACCTTATTGGAATTACATAATTAAACTGTTGCCTGTACATTTCTAAATCTAAAAGCTCCAAATACTACGCTTGATTAAGACTCGTTTTCACGAACTCACTACTCTTGGCTATTTTCCGTTTGCCCAGCACATGATGTCAGTGTTTCACGTTGTTCTGTAAACCATCAAACTTACTCAAAGCTCCTATGAAGTGATCTAAGTCGACTAGTAACTCTGGAGTTAAGCCAAGGCTATCTGGAGTACATGTTTCTGTTTGAACACCAGTCGTTCTAAAACGTTAAATAAAAAAAAAATGCAGAGTAATTCACAAGAAAGATAAAAATTTGTGTAGCGCCCTCTACAAAATTTCTTGTGGATGACGAATGTCTAGTACTGCTCAAGCGTGAAGAATAGCTCTCTGAAATTCAAGTAAACCTTTGTCACATAGACTTCTTAACTAATTAAAGGAAACCAGTTATCATTTAAGACTGAATTTCCGACTTATCAGTTTGGCAATTTCAAAATTCGGACGGAACATTTATTTTTTGAATGGATATATAATTAATTTTAAATTTAAGGAATTGATAATATAGTTTCACTGGATCCAAAAACATTTATTATAATAATACTTAGTTTTTGTCTGTCCTGAAAATGCGCGTGCATCTTACTATCTAAATGCGCATGCGCGCGCACTTCATTAGAACGGAAGTAAACGAAAGACGGATGTGAATATACTTTAGTAAGTCTTTAGTAAACATTTTGTACAACAATATATTAAAAGCTTATCAAAGTTTTTAAATAGGTCTAACGTCAGGTCGTAGAATATGATTATAAGTTTATTTATTGATAATAATAAGTACGGTAAAGCTTAGCCCCAACTAAAGTAAAGCAAAAAAACGTACACAATTAATTTATCTGTTTATCGAAATAGGCCGTACTTAATAAAGGCTTAACTAACGTTAGGTCTAAGATAAGTGGACTTTAGGTTTCGGTGTTTGCGATTAGAATTCTTTGACATTTTTTGTGTTATTCTAGAAATCCTACAATTAAAGAAGTACTGTCGCAAGAAATATACTAATTTGGCGATAAATGTTATTCGGGTCTCTGCTAGTATTTCAGTATAACTTATAAGCGCAACAGCTATGATAGTTTATTTGAAGACGAGATGGTAAAATAAGTCGTATTTAAACTGCTTTTATGTTTATGTGTGTAAAATCTCTCCTTAGAACTATACAAAGACAAACTCTGGAAACTTCACTGTCGATACTGTAAACCTACTGACCTACAGGACTCTTTACGACTGATCTCTCAGCTGAAGTTTAAAGTTGATGAGCTAGAGCAGTGTTGTGACCGGCTGAAGTACAACCGGGAAACACTAGAGGTAAGTTATTACTCCATATACGTTGCAAGTTATTACTACATAACAGTTGTAAGCAATGTTCCCTCTAATTTTTTCAATCCATTTACAGAATGAATTTTTTTTCATATGCACCAGTATCAAGGCAATGCGCGGATGTACGCTACCAGTTTTTTTTAAAAGGGAGGAGAGTATTTTTAGACCATCAACGTTATTGGATCATTAGGCCGCTTTGCAACGCTACTAGTTGGTTACTTGGGCTGTAGGCCTATCGACTGCCAGGGTCATTAAGGCCATCAACGTGATGAAACCTCACCACTACTGACGATGTGCGCGGCTGGAATAATGAAGTACGCGACACTTGACTGGTTGTGCGGCCGCGCAGCTTAGAGGGAATACTGTTTGTAAGTCATTACTACTTTGTAAATAATTATTACATAACATTTTTGAGCTATTGCTACACAGCAGTTAAGCTATTACTCCATAACAGTGGTAAGTTATTATTCCAAATCATTTGTAAGTTATTGTTACATAACATTGTAAGTTATTGATATATAACAGTTGTGAGTTATTACTACGTAACAGTTGTGAGTTATTATTACCTAACATTTGTAAGTTACTACAACATAACAGTTGTAAGCAGGGTTCTAGTTAATCCGAATTCCCTGGTCCTGTACGCACGAAAATTTGTCGGGACGCAGGATTTTTGACCCCACGATTGCGGAATACACACCACAAAATGTCTCATACACAAGGCAAGCACAAGTACTTTGCTTCGAACTTTGTACCATAATAAACTAAACAGCATACAGTTTGCACACAACTGTCTACATCCAACTTCTAACAGATTTCATTAATGACAATAAATTGCACGAAAACAAAACCACGTGAAAGTAACACATGGTTAAGGCTTCAACTCGGGTAGGTCAAAGTGCGGATGTCACAACCTTTCACAGAGTTACACTCAAAACTGAGTTAAAGTACTTTATTTTCAATGTATATGAATAAACTCGGCATCAGAACGTAGATAATAAATCAAAGTTTAGTATTATTTAAGGTTTAATTTTATAAAAAAATATTTTTAAAAATTCTCAATCTCCCCAGTATGAGAACTTTGACATTTGTTATCTAGTCTTCCCTCTTCTCTAATTTTTTTACCAACTCTCCGAGAAGTACGAAATTGAATGTAAATTACACATTATAGTGGTTTCATCGTTCAGACAAAGCATAACTTACATAGCCTTCAATCTTATTTAGTTACAGAGCAATTAAATAGAAAATCAGACCCCTTTTTGTCATGCCCATCTGTCACATCCTCTCTTTCAGAACTTACCAATAGTTCTCTCTGACAGTTAGGAATATATTATTTACGACCAATAGAAGTCCAAAGGTTTTCTCTATCAAATGATGTATTATATTACGTTGTTGTCTGTACTGAGAATTGTCTGTTTTTCTTCCAGTTCAAACTTTATTCCCGCGGCAAACACATCGAGGTTACGAGGTTGGTCAAATCAACCAACCTCATATAGAGTTAGGGTAAAGAAAATAACAAGAAAATATATAACGTTTTTCTGAAAAAAAAACTTTTGATATTTATTTAGGAGATTTTAGGGGTTATGCAAGCGATATTTGAAAATTTTCAAGTGAAGAAAAGTATTTTTAAACTTATCACGAAAGTTACTTTGCATTGATAAAGGGAAACAGTATAGTGTAAATTGTAAATAAGGTTTTTCATTGAACGTTAACATGCCCTTTTCCACTTACAGAAGTTAAACATGTAGTGCACATTATAAATAAAGTTTTTCATTGACACTGAAGTTCTTTTTTTTTCCTGTTTTTGAGTTTATTAAATTATACCTATGGGACCATTGAAATCAGTTTGGGGCCCTTAAAAATCTCACTGGGACTCTTGAAAGAAAAGTTGAGAATCCGGTACCATTCATTGTAAGTTACTACTGCATAATAGTTACAAATCACAAAAACAAGTCCGAAATCAGTTGCGATAAAGAGCAACCAAAATGAGTAATTAGATCAGTTTCAAGAAAAAAAAGACGCTTAATCTCATATTATCAGAAGATACATTTTATGACATGCTAATCAGAATAAACTATAAGTATAGACATAATCTGTTTATATATAAGAACTGAAATTTTAAAGTCAAACAGACGTCAGAGATCGATCTTACGAACAGTCCAAAGTCATGTTAAATCTCGCGTATAACAAGATTTATCATGCACTGAAGTCAAAACTAGATAGAGGGGCGAATATTACTTCTGGCAAACATATAAAATCAAACTTCTATTTGAGTAACAACTAGCTATTACTGAATACCAAGGGGTGTAATTTTCTTTGCTACAAAAGCAAGGAAGTATTTATAGATGCTAAAGAATACTCTAGTCTTTGAGCTTTTCAATTAAATTAACGTTAAAATCCAATCAAGTTGTTAAGGGCATGAGTGTGGTTATAATGTAGATATAGTTACGACCAACCACAGTGTCGGTGTGTATTTGCAATTTTAGGCTGTACCTTGCATTCTGTAATGAAAACACACATACAGTTTCTTAGACTAAACCTCTTATTTCTCAGCGCATGTTTGCCAACAGACACTCACAAACAGAACAACTTTCAAATGTGTTATTTCGAATCACGTGGCTTACTGGTGAATTTTCTTTCATGTCCAGGATAGCTTCCGGTACCACAGTGAACAGCAAGCCAGGTTGACCCGTGACTTTATTGACAAAATGAAGGAGTTACAAGAGAAAACGAACTCCCAGTGGGTGTGTCCAGAAGCACAAGGTGCAGACACGAGATTCGTAAAAACAATACTAGAGACTATCTCATAAGTCTAAGTTAATACAAATTGAATCTCTTAGTGACGCAATCATTTTGTTTGTGTGTTATTTTTCGTGGCTTATAATTAACTTCTCCGACCTTACGAAACTCATGTTCTATAGTCATTAGTATCGTAAAAATATTTCTAGCTTTCTAGCAATTTTGTAATTAGCAGTTTAATAACCAAATAGTGGAGTGCCTTATATAGGAGCTAAGAACCACATTCAGGAGTGTTTTATATTGAGAGCTAGGAGCTACATAGTGGAGTGTCTTATATTGAGAGCTAGGAACTACATAGTGGAGTGTCTTATATTGAGAGCTAGGAACTACATAGTGGAGTGTCTTATATTGAGAGCTAGGAACTACATAGTGGAGTGTCTTATATTGAGAGCTAGGAACTATATAGTGGAGTGTCTTATATTGAGAGCTAGGAACTACATAGTAGAGTGTCTTATATTTGGAGATGGGACCCACATATTGGAGAGTCTTATATTTGGAGATAAGACCCACATAGTGGAGTGTTTGATATTTGGAGCTAGGAAACGCATAGTGAAGTGACTTATATTTGGAGCTAAGAACCATGTAGTGGAGTGTCTTATATTGAGAGCTAGGAACTTCATAGTGGAGTGTCTTATATTGAGAGCTAGGAACTACATAGTGGAGTGTCTTATATTGAGAGCTAGGAACTACATTGTAGAGTGTCTTATATTTGGAGCTAAGAACCACATAGTAGTATCTTATATTTGGAGATAGGACCTACATAGTAGAGTGTCTTATATTTGGAGATGGGACCCACATATTGGAGTGTCTTATACTTGAAGCTAAGAGCCACATAGTAAAGTGTCTTATATTTGGAGATAGGACCCACATAGTGGAGTGTCTGATATTTGGAGCTAGGAAACGCATAGTGAAGTGTCTTATATTTGGAGCTAAGAACCATGTAGTGGAGTGTCTTGTATTGAGAGCTAGAAACTACATAGAGGGGTTTGTAATATTTTGTTCTTACATCATATGAAGCACGAAGTCTCAGCTCTTGGGGAGATACCTATTTTAAATCCTATCGTCTATCGTCTAGTTGTTCTCACTTATAGGACATTAACTTTTATGTCTGTAGTACATACGTGTATTTATGTAATTACTCCTAGATTGCTTATCCTGATGGAATAAAATACACAGCATGTACTTATTGTAAGTTAACAACACTACAAAAAAAAATGATTTAGTCAGGTCTACCTTCTGTGTATACCTTGTGACGTAACGACACTTATCTTAGGATTGAGTATAGTGATTTAGTCAGGTCTACCTTCTGTGTATACCTTGTGACGTTACGACACTTATCTTAAGACTGAGTATAGTGATTTAGTCAGGTCTACCTTCTGTGTATACCTTGTGACGTAACGACACTTATCTTAGGACTGAGTATAGTGATTTAGTCGGGTCTACCTTCTGTGTATACCTTGTGACGTAACGACACTTATCTTAAGATTGATTATTGTGATTTAGTCAAGCCTATCTCCTGTGTATATAATGTAATGTAACAACACTTATCTTAAGATTGATTATTGTGATTTAGTCAAGCCTATCTCCTGTGTATACCTTGTGACGTAACGACACTTATCTTAAGATTGATTATTGTGATTTAGTCAAGCCTATCTCCTGTGTATATAATGTAATGTAACAACACTTACCTTCAGATTGGGTATTGTCAGGCATTCAGGTTGACCTTATTGTGACATAATAACACCCATTTTAAGATTGTAGTTTGTCACATATTCAGACCTAATTCCCATGCACGTCTTATGTCGTAATAAAATCCATCTTTACCTTCTGTATTGTAAAACCGTTTAGCTTACACTACTATCAGTTTACAGATTGTAATACTTTAAACAAGAAACCAGTGTATTATTTGTGTTTTATCTACTCCTTCCGCCTTCTCTGTTTAATTAATTACTCTTTTCACTTCTACGCATTACATCTCTCCACTAAATTCTTAATATTTGGACAACATTATTATAAAGTATCGTGACCACTTTACTTGCCCCATGTTTTTAACACCGAACAATATTGTAGTTTTTCTCATACTGAATAAAATGATACTGTAATAGAAATATGAAAATTTTTTGTATAATTTAGCAGTGATTTTAATGAATAATCCTTTGACACGATAAAGCCTAAGCATATGTGTTTGTTCATGTATGAAAAAATGCGCGAGCATTTTGCATTTGATGAATATTTCTGTTCTGTTTTTTATCATTTCAGAAGAACCGGCAAAAAAGCCGTCCACTCTGAGACTGAACTCCAAAAATGTAGCCAAATTACAGCATTTATCAACCGAGCTTTTGCAACAGGTATAGAAACTAAACTTCTCTATCTATCTATCTATTCTTCTCACGGGTAACAAGTTATCTGAAATGTTTGCTTAATTTCGTTTGCGGAGCTAAATGAGTGATTTTCGCTCCTGTTCCCATTTTATGGGAAAATGACAGCTATTATTACGTCCCGAGGTGTAATTTGTAGTGAAACTTTCTTATGTTGATGATAACGGAAGAAATGTTCAGTTTCAAATACATAGCCTTGTGGGCGATTTTAGAAGCAAAAGTACTTCCATGTATGAGACCGTTGTGGCAAAATGCGAGAACGAGAACTTTTAAAAGTTTAAATTTAGCCAATTAGATGTCTTTCGAGTAAAATTAAACATTACCGAAACAATATATAAATACTAGTTAGTTTGTGATAGAGTTGCTTATGACTGGAGAAATACGTTAATTTGTTATGTGGAAAGACGAATAAGTAAGTTCGCTAGTTAATAAGGAACTTGCTAAATTTTTAAATATATGTGTATTCATGTCACCAGATGGCGGAAGCAATAGAAAAAACATTGAAAAGTAGTACCTAATATGTCTGAAATTTGTATATAGATGTAACAACAAAAAGTGTATATGCTTGTTCAATGTGTTGCTAGACGCTTTAAAATAATTCATTACAAGCTCGTTAGCTCCGAAACCCTCGAAAAGTTGTAAAGAAATAATTATCTCTTAATCTAAAACTTCAGGGTTTTCTAGTCATATGGCACATTTGTTTGTGTGGATTTATATCTGATATGAATTGATTTTAAAGTATGAATTATTGACATTAGAATCGGCCCGAACATGGCCTGGTGGTTGACGTATCGGACTGGGGTTCGAGACGTGATGATTAAAACACGCTTCGCTCTTTTAATTATCGGCATGTTATAACAGTGACGGTCAATCCCGCTATTTGACTAAGAGTAGTCGCTTCAGGCGATTGGTACTGTCAACTGCTTGTCTTCCAGTGGTCCGTAGTTCAAAATTTAGGACGATTATACCTGAACAATGCAGGTGTCTGATCTGCTATTTGACCAATTGTTTGCACAAAGTGTCGTCCAGTTAAACAAACAAACATATGTAATAAAATTATAAAGTGCTCCATTAAGGTGATCGTGAAGTACGGATTCCCTTACAAACTAACACGTGTACATCGTGACTTAATCATCCCATTTCTTAAGCGTAGACATATAAGTACAACAATAAAATTTCCTAAAATTACAGACTACATTATAAACTCCATTTTAAGTAGCAAACAATTATTCCTTAAAGCAATGTATCAGTTTTTCATTGGGCCTGGCATGATCTGGTGTCAGAGCACTCGACTCGCAATCTACAGTTCAAAGTTCGAATCCCGTCACCTAACATGCTCGCCCTTTCAGCCGTGGGGTGTGTATGTATGTTATAATCCCATTATTTGTTGTTAAAGGGTAGCCCAAAAGTTGGCGTTGGGTGCTTTTTGCTATCTGCATTCCCTCTAATCTATCACCTCAGAATTAGAAACGAATAGTGCAAACAGCCCTCGAGTAGCTTTGCGCGAAATTCAGTAAGCCTTATTAGAAACGATTTTTTTCATTGAATATCGTGAACTTGCTACTAGGGTATAATAGCAACTAAAATTTCGTACATTACTGAATAAGTGTACATCTTTATTCGGCAACATTAGTTGAGACGTTATACAAAATGCATTGCCCTTCAGTGGCTCAGTGGTAAGTCTGAAGGCGTATAACGCTAAAATCCGGGTTTCATTACACGTGGGGAACAGAGAAAAGATAGCCCAGTGTATAACTTTGTGCTTAATAACAAAATAAACAAACTTATATATTTAAAAAATCCTGTACAATGCAAAGAAATGCTTGCTAAAAGAGGCCGCTATAATCGCAGTGTGGGTAAACACACTAAGTGCGAAACGTTATGCATGACTCAGCAGAGACTGGCTAATTGATACGTGTACTCATAACACACTGGATGCTGTGGAGGTTAATAACCATAATCGAAACACATTAAGTGTGTAAATAGTGAATGGGATCAGTAAAATACAATCTTATCGTCTAGGAAAACTGTAAACTAACCACAGCAAAGAATATTTGCTTCCCTTTTACTCTAATCTACATATAACTTACAAGTACTACTCATTATCGCTTCTACACTCCCTGGTGTAGAAATAAGTAAGTATAAATACAACGTTCCAGAAGCAGTAAATAGATATAATACTGTTTGTAGAAGAAAAATAGAAGTTTGAGAACTTTTAAACCTTCATTGTTCTGTAGCAAGATTAAAAGG